AATGAACTTACAAAAGTAACAGGACATGCGTGCGTCAGTGCCAGCTACCAAGCCTCATGTCTCTCCCACACGCTGGGAACATGCTGTTTCGCTGATGTCATCAATTTGAGAGCTCGTCCCTTCCTTTACTATTCACTGAGATAGGAGGTCTTGCGTTGTAGTCCAGGCTGACTTCTCCTGAGGAGCTGGTGTGTCTGGTCAGAGTTTGTTTTGAGTCATGGTTTTGGAGAGTTTGGCCCTAGAATGACTGATTGCCCCATTCCTTTGGGTCCTGTACCACACTATCCGGTCATAGCAGGAACACATGGTACAGTAAAATCTCTCATCTCAAGGCTACAAAGTCAAAGAGAATGAGGAAAGGACCAGAGTTCTATGACTTCCTTTAAGGACAGACCTCCAGTGGCCCAAACACCCACAACTAGGTACCACTTCCCGATGGCTCCATTACCTCCTGATAGCACTATGCCGGAGATCAAGACTTTAACACGTGGGCCTTTGGGGAACATATAAGATCCTAACTATGCAGTTAGTAGAAAAATGTAAGGGAGAAGAAGAAGTATCTTTCAACTGTCACCTTACGGAAATGTTCAACATCTTTAGTCATCAGAGAAATGCAAATCAAAACAATTCTGAGATTCCATCTTACACCTGTAAGAATGGCCAAGATCAAAAACACTGATGAAAACTTATGCTGGAGAGGTTGTGGGGAAAAGGGAACACTCCTGCATTGCTGGTGGGAATGCAAGCTGGTACAACCCCTTTGGACGTCAGTGTGGCGATTTCTCAGAAAATTAGGAAACAACCTTCCTCAAGACCCAATAATACCACTATTAGGTATATATCCAAAGGATGCTCAATCGTGCCACAAGGACATGTGCTCAACTATGTTCATAGCAGCTTTGTTTGTCATAGCCAGAACCTGAAAACAACCTAAATGTCCCTCGATCAAAAAATGGATAAAAAAATGTAGTACATTTACACAATGGAGTACTACACAGCAGAAAAAAATAACGACAGCTTGAATTTTGCAGGAAAAATGGATGGAGCTAGAAAACATTATTTTGAGTGAGGTAACCTAGACACAGAAAGGCAATTATCACATGTACTCACTCATAGGTGCTTTTTAAACATAAAGCAAAGAAAGCCAGCCTACAAACCACAATCCCAGAGAACTTAGACAACAATGAGGACTAAGAAAGACTCACATAGATCTAATCTACATGGGAAGTAGGAAAAGACAAGATCTCCTGAGTAAATTG